GCTTCGTAATGTAGACGTGGCGTTTCTTCGGGCTATTGGTGATGTGGCGTGGTATGAGTGGTGGAGTTTAAGTTTCTATTTTGGGTAGCGGAAGGAGAGGAATGTGAGATATTTTTACATTTTTCTCCCACGGGAAAAGGACAAAAGCAAATGAGAAGGAAAAAACGGGAGCCACGTAGCTCTGCTCCGTCCACTTGTAAGCATTTATTTGATCATGTCGAGAGGATGATTCTATAATAATGCATTACACACATTAATATATACCATCAATGATATATATCGACATGAACCACTAATATTTTTATAGAAGAAAATCATAAATAATAATTAAATTTTACTAAAATAATTTTATTTATAATTAAATTTGTAAAAGTTATAAAATAAATATTAAATTTTTTAATTAAAAAATTAATATTGAATATCAAATATCAAATATTGTAAAGATGATGACGTAACATGCTAAATTTATATATATATATATATATATATATATATATATATATATATCTTATTTAATCCCTCAATTATAATTATCATTTTGATATATATATATTTTAATATTTTTAAGTAATAATTCTAAAATGTTAGAAAAATCAGTTTTTTTTAGAAAATATATGATTATAATTTATTTTTTAATATTTTAAAAAATTATAATTTATGAAATTTTTTTAGTTTATCAAATACATCTAAACTTAAATAAATAATTGAAATAATTATTAACTTTTTAATAACATTTCAACTAATTAATATAATACAAACTAAATATCTATAATATAGCAATAAAAAATAATACTTATTTTATTTACATCTATTTTGTTTTCAATGAAACGAACTTAATAAAATTATTTTAATTTAAATTAACAGTAAAATGAAATTTTAATTACAATTAAAAGGTCAAATAAGATTTTTTTTCATTAATTTAACATGTTACATCACCTATTTAATGGCATATAGTGGTATTGTGCTATTTTGTAACAAAATCTAAAATTCAATGTCCATTATAAAAGTTTTAAAAATTTAGTATCTAAAAAGATCAGTTTAATATAATTTAGTGATCATTTTTAAATTTTAACTTGTAAATAGTGAACTTCGATACATGACATTCATTGTAGAATTTTCCATGTCGAGATAGTTATACAATGAGTTTGCGAAAATTATGTCTATGTATACTCGAAAATAGACTATCGAGATTTAAAGTGTAAAATGACAAAAGCCATCAAACAATCATTTTTTCTTAATTCTATCCGTTGTCTTTTAATTTTTAGGGTAAACAACACGTTTAATTCCTAAACTATTACTTTTGTTCCTTTTTTATATCTAAACTTTTTTTTAAAATTCATACATAACATTTAATTTAAGTTTAAATGATGACATAGCATTTCCTTATGGTGACACGACAGCATCAACATTAAGTTTTTAACGGAGGGATATCAAAATGAAACTTAAACTAAATGTTAAGTATGATTTTGAAAAACAATAAAGTTTGGATATCAAAATGAATAAAAAATAATAATTTAAGTACTAAACATGTATTTTACCCTAATTTTTAACACATATTTTTGCTTTATTAATTAGTATTTACAAATATTAATTTTAATATGTGATTAACATTTTTCATGATAATAATTAAACCAGTGTTGCATATATAAATGAATGTTGTTATCATCATTAGCGGTAAATTTTGTATGATGTCTTCTTGTCAATGATATAAATATTATCATGATCAATTATAATAAATATTAAAATAAAAATAAACTTTGTACTTGGAATTTTTAAATCCTTTTTGTAGTGGTTTACAAATCAAAGAATTTCATTAAAAATAAATAAATAAATAAATTGCAATAATGGATACCATTGTTCATACGTTGCAGACATGTATGAAGGAATGAAGAGAAATTAGGGATGGCAGAATGACTCGAACCCGATGAGGAAATCCGAAATCTGGTCAAGTTCAGGTCGGGTCGGGTTTGAATTATATCGGGTCGGGTATAAGGGATTTTTTTTGGTCGGGTTCGGGGACGGGGCAAGGTATCCCCGCCCAATCCAGATTATATATGTATATAATATTTTATATTTTTATATTAATTATATATATATATATAATATTTTATATTTTTTTATATTAATTATATATATAATATTTTCGGGTTCGGGTTCGGGTTTGAGTATAATATTTCGGGTTCGGGTTTGAGTATAATATTTCGGGTCGGGTTCGAAGACGGCGCAAAAAAAATCTTCGACGGGGATCTGGTCGGGGTTGGGGATGGGGATTCATTTCAGATTCGGGGACGGGGCGAACAAAACCCGCCCTGAACCCGCCCGTTGCCATTCCTAAGAGAAATCTTATGCAGAAATGTGATTATTGTGTCCTATGTTCAAAGTTTAAACGATCTAGTTACTAGTCATGTGGATTGCATGGGCGGACCTATATGGCCCAGGAAGTAGCAAATGCATACCTATTTTTCTTAAAAAAATATCAGCATTTAAACTTTGAACATAGGACACAATAATCACATTTCTGCATAAGATTTCTTGAGCTTTGTGCTCTTTGACGAGAGTAAGAAATCAATGTCAACCTTTTATTTTAAAAATTTAAATTAAAAAAATACTGATTAAAATAATATATCATTTTACCTTTTACAACAATTCATCTCGCCTTTTTTACTTTCTCTCATTTTCCTTAAAAAAATATAAATATTTAATATATTATATTAAGAGTTAAAAATTATGCACACATCTTTCTTGAGCTCTGTGCTCTTTAAGGTAGGTAATAAACCAATGTCAACCTTTTATTCTAAATTTTTAAATTAAAAAATATTGATTAAAATAAAATATTGATTAAAAATTATGCAGAAATGTGATTATTGTGTCCTATGTTCAAAGTTTAAACGATCTAGTTACTAGTCATGTGGATTGCATGGGCGGACCTATATGGCCCAGGAAGTAGCAAATGCATACCTATTTTTCTTAAAAAAATATCAGCATTTAAACTTTGAACATAGGACACAATAATCACATTTCTGCATAAGATTTCTTGAGCTTTGTGCTCTTTGACGAGAGTAAGAAATCAATGTCAACCTTTTATTTTAAAAATTTAAATTAAAAAAATACTGATTAAAATAATATATCATTTTACCTTTTACAACAATTCATCTCGCCTTTTTTACTTTCTCTCATTTTCCTTAAAAAAATATAAATATTTAATATATTATATTAAGAGTTAAAAATTATGCACACATCTTTCTTGAGCTCTGTGCTCTTTAAGGTAGGTAATAAACCAATGTCAACCTTTTATTCTAAATTTTTAAATTAAAAAATATTGATTAAAATAATATATTCTATTTTATATTTTACAACAATTCATCTTACCTTTTACTTTCTCACTTCTAAAGCTTCTTTTTGTTTTTAATTCAAACTCAGCTGCTATGAAACCCAGCTATCGGTCCCTTGCTTCAGTTTAAACCAACTGTCATGACGTCGTTCACCGACGATTTTCCGTTGAACTTCCCCAACCAAGCTGCCTGCAAGTAAAGTGTTGCTCATTTCTTTTCCTTATGTTATCATTCTTTTACCCTATTAAATTTAGTTAAATTCATATTTATGTTTTTGTGTTTTTGAAATTTATTTTTTTAATTTGAATGAGTTAAAATTAAGAGATAAAATTAAATTTTAGATTAATTTAATAGATTTTAGTGATTTTATGAAGAATATTTGAATGTTAAATTGTGATATATAAAATTATGAATATATATTTTTGGGATGGAGAAAAAATTATATTAAATTTGTGTAATTTAAGCTGAAGCAATTTGGATATTTTAACTTTTAAGTTGAATCCATTAAAATTACTTAATTAGTAATTAAGATCTTACTTCTTTGATAATAAATATAAATATTAATAGTGAATTATAATCTAAATTATTGTGGTTTGAAAATTTTGTTATTGTAGTAGTGAGAAGATGAATGAATAAAAGACCAACTCTCAACGAAAGAAGAAGAAAGGAACGTTGGATTGGTTTGTTCAAATGTCCAAAAAGAATGATGCAAGTTCTTCCCAAGTGCCAATTTGTGTCTCATCACCGACTCAACCTTCAGCAACTCAAGTCGAACAAGAATTTTCTTTCCCTTCAAATAATATGCCCCAAACTCAAGGAACTGGAATAAGATCTACATGTATTACACAAGATGATAGTACAGCATTTGCATCAAGAGAGATGGAAAGCCAAGTTAATGATATCTATATTCCACATGATCCGGCTAAAAGGAAAAAAATTGTTGATTATCATCCAATGGATTGAGAAGCAGTGAGGAAAGAATACATACAAAGAGGTACTTGCCAACCAAAGAAGAACAAATTTCCTCAAACGGACTTCGGAGGAGGTACATTATATCGCTTTAATAAGTATTCTTGGCTTGAGTATAGTATTTCAAAAAATGTTGCATTTTGCTTTGTTTGTTACTTGTTTAAGAATAAAACTACCATAGCTGCAGGAGGAGATGCATATTTTTGTTAATGGGTTTAGAGGTTGGAATAGGCCAGTTCGGTCTAGAAAACATGTTGATGGAATTAATAGTGCTCATAATCAAGCTTTTCAAAAGTTTGAGAATTTAAAGAACTTTAAGTCATCCTTGAAAGTTTCTTTAGACCAACAAATCAAGCAAGCTTAAAGTGACTATCGAATCCGCTTGACTACTTCTCTTCATTGTTTGAGATTTCTTTTACATCAAGGATTGGCATTTCATGGTCATAATGAAAGTGATGAATCAAGTAACAAGGGAAATTTTCTTGAACTTTTGAATTGGATTGCAGAAAAGAATGATGATATGGGAAATGTTGTTTTGAAAAATGCACCTAAAAATAATCAAATGATTGCACATTCGATGCAAAAAGAGCTTATCAATTGTTGTGCAAAAGAAACTACCAAGGCAATTGTGGAAAATCTTGGTAAGGATTATTTGGAATACTAGTAGATGAGTCAAGTGATGCGTCTCAAAAAGAACAAATGGCTTTGTGTGTCCATTATGTTGATAAAAAGGGAATGATAAAGGAACGATTTCTTGGAATTGTTCATGTTAGAGATACCACATCTTTGTCTCTTAAAGAAGCTATATTTTCTTTGCTTGATGAGCATTCTTTGAGTTTTTCAAGAATTCGTGGGCAACGGTACGATGGAGCTAGTAATATGAAGGGTGAACTTAATGGTCTCAAAACTCTAATCATGAGAGAAACACAATTTGCTTACTACATACATTGTTTTGCTCACCAACTTCAATTAACTCTTGTTGTCATTTCTAAGAAAAATAAAGATTGTGGTTGGCTTTTTGATGCACTTGGAGATTTGTTGAATGTTGTTGGATCATCATGTAGGCGAAAAGATTTGCTTAAAGGAAAACAAGCTGAAAAAACTGCAAAAGCCTTTGAAAATGGTGAAATTGTGACTGGAAAAGGTTTAAACCAAGAGCTTGGTTTAGGTAGGCCGGGTGATACACGTTGGGGGTCTCATTATAAGTTGATTTTGAATGTGATTTATTTGTATTATACAATACGTGAGGTACTTGATTTGATTGGTAACGATGCTCGAAATGGTGATGATGCTCGAAAAACCAATAATGTGAGTTTTGCAATAGAGTCATTTGATTTCATTTTCATGATTCACTTGATGGAGAGAATATTTGGGATTATGAATGAATTAAACAAAGCTTTACATAGAAAAGATCATGATATTGTCAATGTTATGCCACTTGTTACTTTAACTAAAGAAAGATTACAAAATATGAGGGAAAACGAGTAGGAGTCCTTTTTTGTTACAATCATTTCATTTTGTAACAAGAATGACATTGATATTCTTAATATGGATGTTGTGTATACTCCTCCGGGAAGAAAGAAACGTTGTCGTTTGGATACTACTAATATTCTTCATTTTCAAATTGAAGTGTTCTTGGGAGTTTTTGATCTTCAGCTTCAAGAGTTAAACAACCGATTTGATGAGGTTAGTATAGAGTTATTGACTTCTATGGCTTCTTTGAGTCCACTTGATAAATTTTCTTCTTTTGACAAACAAAAGATACTTAGACTTGCTGAATTATATCCTGATGAATTTACAAGTGTTGATAGACTAGCCCTTGATGATCAACTTGATAATTATATTGTTGAAATGCAGAGGGATGATAGATTTTGGGTATTGAAAGATATGGGTGAACTTTCCATGAAGCTTGTCGAGACAAAGAAGCATCAAGTGTACCAACAAGTCTATTTGCTCATAAAGTTGGTATTGATTCTCTCCGTAGTAACCACAAGTGTGGAAAGAGCATTTTCTAAAATGAGCATCGTGAAGAATAAGTTGCGAAATAGCATAGGTGATCAATTTCTAAATGATTGTTTGGTCACTTATATAGAAAGAGATGTTCTTGTCCAAATCGATGATGAAAAAATCTTGAAACAATTTCAAGGAAGGAAAGCTAGTCGAGAACAATTATAATTGTTTCTAGTGTTTAGTAATTTTTTGTGCTTTTTGAATGAATTGTTATTTTAAAATTTTAATTATGTAACTTTTTTTATTAATGAATATTATAATATTTATTTTAGACCCCCATTTTTTAATTATTGGATCCGCCACTGGTGGATTGTTCATCGGAGTTAATGGCTTTCATTCCGATGCATAAAGTAATCGCTTTGGACATGCATCGACAAGTTCATTGAGCTCGTATAGTCATATTGTCATCGTCATTGCATTCCTCATTTTGTCTTAATCAAAATCACGCCTCTTGATTACTCGTCGTTTGTAATTTTTAAAACCCGATAAAAAAATTTGGACTTTCCTTCCAACAGTAACACTTTCAATCCGATCTAAATGAAATCCGAATTAAATAGATTATCGTAGTTCAATGAAAATCAAACACGAACGGAAAATCATGCATATTGTTCAATCTTGACATTAATGCACATTCAACTACTCTTATTAACCAATTATTAAATAATGTAATCTTGAAATCATGTTTGAGGACCGAATTAAAATATTTAAAAAGTTTAGAGACTTAATTGTAATTGATAAAAAATTGAATTTAAGTGATAAAATATCATTAATACCATAGTAGCGTTAAGCTAGCTGATCATTATCATTGTACAACATGCAATTATTACCATAGTTCAATTATAACTTAACACACAATCAAATTTAGACTTAATTAAATTCATGAAAACTTATGATCTTCTAGTATCGATAGAATAACATGAGTATCAATATTGATTATATACTATCGATAGAATATTAGGAGTGTGCAAATTTGGATATCGGATTTGATCTGTCCCGAAATTTCGAATATCTGAAAACTTTGGATACCTAAAATAATGATCCCTATTCAATCTGAAAAAATCAGATATCTGAATTCGAATATAAAATTTATTTTGACAAAAATATTAATCTTAAATTTTAAATTGGGTGAGTTAATATAACTTATTTGATATCTCTACTGTATTTTATATATATTTAATTACTCACACACAATAAATAATTAAATATCCTATTTTTTATTGGGCTAGAGCTTTAATGAGTTAGTGAGTTATTCATTTATTAGGCTAAAGGCTATCTAAAATATAAAAGCCTATTTTTTTTTGGATTTTCATATTATTCGAAATTGAAATTTATCTGATCCATATCCGATTCGATTATTCAAATTTTTTCTTGGATATTCAATCTGAATTATCCAAAAATTAAAAAATAGATCGGATATCCAAATTTTCAGATTGGATCAACATCAATTTGATCTTTTTGTACACCCCTAATTGAGATCGCTTGGTTCGTGTAATAAAGATACTTTTAAATAACCTATAATGAATAATACTTTGAGATTTAAATTCATATAAACGATTAAACACTAATTCTCATAATTCCAATTTCAACTATATTTATATTCATGAATTAAAGTAATGACTGTCAAAAATCAAATAATCTTTTATTACTTTTAATTTAAATCTATATTCATGATTTTCTCAAGTTCAAAAGAAGAACAGAGGCAAAAAGTAATTTTTAAATAAATTTTTATATAATTTAATTACTTAAAATAATCACATTTAAAGTTTTAAAAACTGAAAAATTATTCTACTTGCAATCGAAGGAGTTCAAACTATAAATAAACTTAATAAGTTTATCTCAAAGTTAATATATAATTGAATTAAATATAATTTTGAAATGTTTAATTTTAATAACTTAGAGTCAGATATTATTTTATATTCAGTCCAGATTAATAAAAAATTAATATTTAATATAATTACAATGTAGTTACTTCTTTATTTGTTTAATTAAAAATGAAAAATAAATAAAATATAGAGAGAGAATAGTATAGAAAAATGAAAAGGAGTGATTGAGAGGAAGTGATGCACCCCATGGTCATCGGCGGTGACCAAATAATTAACGGTATAAATTATATTCCACCTGACGAAGTATAATTTTACTTGGTCAGAATTCGATAAGCGGTCATATTAACAACCGTAAATTACTTCCCACGTGGACCAGTGAAATGTTCCCAGATGGGAATCAAAGGGAAAATGAGAAATTATATAAATAGCAGCTGATTGAAGCTTCATGCATATTATTATTCTCGTGAATCGCTCATTTTTTTCTTCAAACTTACACTTGAGATTGACGAGGTTTGATCTCTTCCAGTTTACATAAAGTTAGAAAGAGAGATGGCTACGTGGCAATACTGTGTGGTGCCGAGTGGAACGGAGGCGGTTTCCAGTTGCAATGCGGTGACAAGATTCGTCGACTTCGGCCGTGGGAGAAATGGTGGCGGTGGAGCTGGTGGAGGTAGGAGAGGAATCAAAGCGGATCGGCTGATGTTGATAAGGAAGTGGCAGGTTAGGCCGATGAAAAGGTCGTTCTCGGTGAGGAATGTGTCGAGTGATCAGCAACGCAAGGTGAAAGACCCGATAACTCAGCACGAAGGTTCGATCTCCTTCCGTAATATCCGTATACAAATGCAAATGCTCTGTTTTTTACTTTTCTTTTTCAATTTTCTTATTTTTCATGTTTACTTGTTTGGTTAATTGGAAACTTGTGCATTTTGTGTTTGTTTATACCTACCTACATACATACATACATATCTATACTAATACACACGTGTATATACTAATATACATATTTGATACTGCCTGTGAAGTGAGAATATTATTTTCTTTTCCGATATTAATTAATCATCAGAAGGATCAATTTACATTGGTATAAACTAAAGTATTTTTGTACGTTTTCATAGCATTTTACATCATCAATAATAAGGCATGAAATTATATAAAAGTATTTTAATCTTATACTATAAGTGGATCTCCCTTCCTCACTATATTATATTGAGTGATCGTATGTGATTTTTGGAGGGGAGATTTTATTCTTCTTGACTTTCAGATTAGGGTCTTTGATATCACCTTTTGTCTCTATCCTTTCTGTTGTTTGATACTTTTAGAATCATCTTCATATCCTAACTAGCATCTGCTGATTTGAAGTTAAAACTTTGAATCTTTGATACTATGGATGCTGTTGTTTGATTATGTTGTCGGGAAAACGAGTTTAGAAAAATTGGACTCTAAAGATCTATAATAATAACAATGACCTTCGCTTTCCACTTTTCCCTTTTCGTTTTAACTTTTTTTTTCTTTTTCATTCGATGTAGAATCTCTCGGTCCTTGTAATCATTTTCTTCCAGATGCTTCGTCTATTGCTTCTAGTATCAAACACCATGCACTGTTCACCCCAATGTTTTCCCCTGAGAAGTTCGAGCCTCCAAAGGCTTTCTTTGCAACTGCACAAAGTATTCGCGACGCTCTCATTATAAACTGGAATGCCACATATGATTATTATGAAAGATCGAATGTAAAGCAGGCTTACTATTTGTCAATGGAATTTCTACAGGTGTGCACTTTTTCGACCTTCAATTCTTTCTCTAAATCTCTCGGAAGATGTTACTATTTCAACCTTTTATATTTCTTCAACAGGGTCGGGCTCTGTTGAATGCAATTGGCAATTTGGGTCTAACTGGAGCTTATGCAGAGGCTTTGAGCAATCTTGGACACAGCCTAGAAAAAATAGCTACCCAGGTTGGTTGGTCTATATAAGTTTTTTCTTTTGTGTACCTTAACTTTACAACACATTCTGACGGTAGTGAATGATTGGAGAGGACAAAAGATTCTCCAGACTGCTCTAGAACTAAACTATTGGTGTTTACCTTTGAATTGAACAATATATTAATTGACTTGGTTATTAATAAATTTTCTGTTTAATTAAAGCAACTGGCCATCATTTGAATCCTTCACCAGCTAGCTACCATAGTGTCATTGTAGAAATATAGAATTTTTTCCTTTGGTTCTTTCTAAAATTATGCCCTTTCTGATTTATTTTGTGTCTTTGTTAAAAAAAATACAGGGAGGGTATCTATATGATTGCATTCACATAATCACATTATTCTGTCATGAGAGCTAAATTCTTTGGTTGATTTTGTAGGAGCCAGATGCTGCCCTAGGGAATGGAGGCCTTGGTCGACTTGCCTCCTGTTTTCTGGATTCTTTGGCAACATTAAATTATCCAGCATGGGGTTATGGGCTTAGATATAAGTATGGCTTATTTAAACAGCGTATTACAAAAGATGGGCAGGAAGAAGTTGCTGAAGATTGGCTTGAGGTATTCTTGCGCTTTGTTATCTCTCCTTTGAAGCAATCATTGTAGAAATAAATGCACACATATGTCTATATGAAATCTGCATAATGAATACTGATGTTTTTCCCCTCTCTGAAATGGCCAACTTC